TTTTTTTTTTTTTTTGTTTTATTGACGTAAGTATATATAAGTATATAAATATACATTCGCCTGTCATATTATATAATATATATGTCGGTAAATCAACGAATATACGATTCCTGGAATGAAAATCAAAAGTACAGAAATTTCGGAAGATGACAGTCCCAAAAATCTGTAATTACTGTACAATGGCACAAAATCTGTGAAACGTTATAACACGTTGAAAACTTCTATACATTTGACTAGAAATTTCAATTTACACTCTAGTTCTATAATTACAATGGCTACAAAAGTATTTGTATACCGCTGTATTTGTTGCAACAGATATACATTGATTAATTAATTGTATTCGCCAGTGTTTTCATACGATTACAAAAACTTAACATTAACACTATGAAAACGAAATATTTAACATAATAAATGTAATTAAAATAACATTTTGAATCAAATATTCGCTTCGAAAAAGTCATTGTCTCTTCTGAAATATCAACTGCTCCAAATTTTTGTTTGCTCCAAATGTCCATTTCAAATTTCCAAGTTTAAAAGAAATTAACCTAACACGCTGCCCCACTTTGTTATTTACAGATCTTCGGTAGCAAGGCGGACCTGCAGCTCCACACGCAGATCCACATGCGCGAGGCGAAGCCGTACAAGTGTACCCAGTGCTCGAAGGCGTTCGCGAACTCCTCGTACCTGTCCCAGCACACCAGGATCCACCTGGGCATCAAGCCGTACCGCTGCGAGATTTGCCAGCGGAAGTTCACCCAACTGAGCCACCTACAGCAGCACATCCGCACGCACACCGGTGACAAACCGTACAAGTGCCGGCATCCAGGCTGCACGAAGGCGTTCAGCCAGCTGAGCAACCTACAGAGCCACTCCCGCTGCCATCAGACCGACAAGCCGTACAAGTGTAACTCTTGCTACAAGTGCTTCTCCGACGAGCCCAGCCTGCTCGAGCACATACCGAAGCACAAGGAGTCCAAGCACCTCAAGACGCACATCTGCCAGTACTGCGGCAAGAGTTACACCCAGGAGACCTATCTGGCCAAGCACATGCAGAAACACGCGGAGAGAACGGACAAGAGACCGCCGATAATCGGCACGGGGCTCAGGCCGTCGATTCACTCGATGGCCGCGCATCATCAGGACCACTACTGGCCGAAAGTCAGCCCGGACTCGGTGATCAGCGACTTGCACGATCGGTTGCCGCATCATCACACCGACTACCATCAGAATCAGAATCCGGAGATGCTGCTGCCCGGCCACGGGCACCGCGGCGAGTCCATCGAGAACGACTCGAGGCAACAGACCCCTCAGCCAGGCGCCAATCATCATCCGAACAGCAGCTCGGCGTTCACGCCGATCTCCTCGATCTCGATAAACTCCATCTCCTCCATGCAACACCCGTTGAACCCTCTGAACCATCTGCACTACCCGGGCAGCCATCATCCAGCATCCAGGCCGTACCTCTACGAGGCGTTCAACTCGACGCAGAAATCGTCGCCGGCCTCGTCCTCGTCCGGCGTCACGCCCGGCACCACCAGCAACCAGAACGCGACCTCGTTCCCGAACCAGTTGATCAGCCTGCATCAGATCAGGAATTACGCGCACCAGCCGAACCTCGGCAATCTAGGGAACCTAGGGAACCTAGGCAATCTGAGCAATCTGAGCAACCTAAGCGCGACGATGGAGAGCCACGCTCTCCTCGGCGGACTCAAGGAGAAACAGTAACTCCGGCGGCTGGTCGCGGAGATTAGGAACAAAGGAAAAAAAAAAAAAAGAACTGTTTGCTACTTCTCCTCGGTTTCTTTTTTTTCTTCTTCGACTGTTCGACCTGTTCCTCGCCCCTGTTGCTTCTTTTCCCCGGGGAAGGTTGTACGGGGGTTCTGAAGATTTCTCGGAACGATGCTTTTGGCAACTACATGTTTTCGGACTCGGAAGGAAAGAAATGACGATTGGATTAGTATTTGGCTGCTTCTAATATCGGTGTCTCCCTTGTACCTCTTTTTGGTAGTTCGTTGTAATATTATTGGGATGTTTTTCCGAGAACTGTTTACAGTGTGTGCATGCAGATCGCGAGTGATGACTTCTGAAGGGTTCCTGGGTTTTCAGAGGGTGGTCTTCGAGGGTGGTTATTCGCTGTGATTGTCACGGAAATATACTAGTTGTAGTATGTTTTTCATCTTCACAAATGCAATACATAAATATAAATGTAAATATACATGAGTGTATATTAATACATAATTGTACATTACAAGATGGAGTAACGTGAAGAAAGAAACTGCCTATTTTCTTCCATCGGATGACAGACTCAAATTGTTAATAAAAGTTATCGAAGGAAGAAAAACAATTTTATACGCGAAAATCTTTCTCTAAATACATTGAATAATTTCGTTTTAACAGATGTTGTCTTGAATTAATAACGAACATTATTGCAAAAAGTATCGCTTACAGAAATCTAATTGAGTAAGAAGAAGAAAAATGATAATACACTTTGTTAGCTACAATTTAGTAGCTATTTAAAACAGAAATTCTTCATTTTTTCTCTCTTTTTTTTTTTAAACAACTCCTTTCACCAATGTCGAATTATTATTGGTAAATTATATAAATCTAATCAATTAAAAAAAATATAATATACGCAACGTGCTCCGTTTTCTCTCACATTTTAAACAAACTTGTTTTACCAATCACGCGTAAATCTACTTATTACTTAAATCCAATTACAAAGGAAGTAATGCGTATATAAACGTATGTTTCA